CTGGAGGTCCTGGGGAGGTCCCTCAGAGGCCCTCGGGGCGCTGGTAGCGCCAGAAGGCGACGGCGCCGTCGTCGCCGCAGGACGCCAGCAGCCCCGGCTCCCGCGGGTGCCAGGCCACGCCGTTGGCGTCCTGCGCGTGCGCCCGCGCCACCTGCGCCGCCAGGCCGAAGGTGACCGGGGAGCCCGGCGCCGCCGGGGCCACCTCCTCGAACACCCGCACGGCGTCGTCACCGCACGCCGTGGCCACCGCGCCCGTCAGGTGGCACCTGCGGGGACAGGGGACAGGGAGGGGACGGGTGGCACCTGCGGGGACAGGCACGGGTGGCACCTGCGGGGACAGGGGACAGGGAGGGGACGGGTGGCACCTGCAGGGACAGGCACGGGTGGCACCTGGGAGGGGACAGGGGATGGGTGGCACCTGGACAGGGACAGGGGACAAGGAGGGGACGAGTGGCACCTGCGGGGACAGGCACAGGTGGCACCTGGGAGGGGACGGGACGGGTGGCACCTGCACAGGCACGGGTGGCACCAGGACAGGGACAGGGGACACAAGGGGACAGGGACAGGTGGCACCTGGCAGGAGTGAGGGTCAGGGGACAGATGGCACCTGAGGACAAGGAGGGGAAAGGTGGCACCTGGGAGGGACAGGGGACAAGGAGGGGACAGGTGGCACCTGGGAAGGACAGGGGACAAGGAGGGGACAGGTGGCACCTGGGAGGGACAGGGGACAAGGAGGGGACGGGTGGCACCTGCGGGGCACAAGGGAGAGGACAAGGTGGGAAGGTGGCACTTGGAGGGGCCAGCAGAGTGGTGGCACCTGGAGAGTCACAGGGGTGACAGGGAGGGGACAGGGCCCCAGGGAGGTGTCCCTGGTGTCCCCAGGGAAGTGTCCCCAGTGTCCCCAATGTCCCCAATGTCCCCAGTGTCCCCAGGTGTCCCCGGTGTCCCCAGGGAAGTGTCCCCAGGTGTCCCCAGGTGTCCCCAATGTCCCCAGGTGTCCCCAGTGTCCCCAGGGAAGTGTCCCCGGTGTCCCCAGGTGTCCCCAATGTCCCCAGTGTCCCCAATGTCCCCAGGTGTCCCCAGGTGTCCCCAGTGTCCCCAGNAGGTGTCCCCAGTGTCCCCAGGTGTCCCCAATGTCCCCAGGGAAGTGTCCCCAATGTCCCCAGGTGTCCCCAGTGTCCCCAGGTGTCCCCAATGTCCCCAGGTGTCCCCAGGTGTCCCCAGGGAAGTGTCCCCAGTGTCCCCAGGTGTCCCCAATGTCCCCAGTGTCCCCAATGTCCCCAGGTGTCCCCAGGTGTCCCCAGGGAAGTGTCCCCAGTGTCCCCAGGTGTCCCCAATGTCCCCAGGTGTCCCCAATGTCCCCAGTGTCCCCAGGTGTCCCCAGGTGTCCCCAGGGAAGTGTCCCCAATGTCCCCAGGTGTCCCCAGTGTCCCCAGGTGTCCCCGGTGCTCACCAGGCCACGTCGTAGATGCTGCGCCCGTGGTACCCGGACAGGGTGCAGACACACTGCCAGCTGTGCTCCGAGCCTGGGGACATGGGGACAGCATTGGGGACATTGGGGACAGCATTGGGGACATGGGGACATCACTGGGGACATCACTGGGGACATGGGGACATCATTGGGGACATCACTGGGGACATTGGGGACAGCATTGGGGACATTGGGGACAGCATTGGGGACATTGGGGACATTGGGGACATCACTGGGGACATCACTGGGGACATGGGGACATCATTGGGGACATCACTGGGGACACTGGGGACAGCATTGGGGACATTGGGGACAGCATTGGGGATATCATGGGGACATTGGGGACACTGGGCTGTCCACCCCCACATGATGCAGTCATCACTGCAGGACACGGATCCCTGTGCCCACTGTCCCCAAGTCCCCATGTCCCCATGATGTCCCCATGTCCCCAACGTCCCAGTGATGTCCCCAATGTCCCCATGATGTCCCCAATGCCCCCATGTCCCCAATGCCCCCAGTGTCCCCATGTCCCCATGATGTCCCCATGTCCCCAATGTCCCCATGATGTCCCCATGTCCCCGTGCCCTCACCGTGGCCCGGGGCGCGCTGCCACACGCGCAGGGTGCGGTCGTCACTGCAGGACACGGATCCCTGTCCCCATGTCCCCAATGTCCCCATGATGTCCCCAACGTCCCAATGACGTCCCCAATGTCCCCATGATATCCCCAATGTCCCCAGTGATGTCCCCATGTCCCCAATGTCCCCATGATGTCCCATGGTGTCCCCGTGCCCTCACCGTGGCCTGGGGCGCGCTGCCACACGTGCAGGGTGCGGTCGCTGCAGGACATGGATCCCTGTCCCCATGTCCCCAATGTCCCCAATGTCCCCATGTCCCCAATGTCCCCAATGTCCCCAATGTCCCCATGATGTCCCCAATGTCCCTATGATGTCCCCAATGTTCCCATGATGTCCCCAATGTCCCCATGATGTCCCCAATGTCTCCAATGTCCCCATGTCCCCAATGTCCCAATGATGTCTCCATGTCCCATGATGTCCCCATGTCCCCAATGTCCCCATGATGTCCCCAATGTCCCCATGATGTCCCCAATGTCCCCATGATGTCCCCATGATGTCCCCATGATGTCCCTATGTCCCCATGTCCCCAATGACGTCCCCAATGTCCCCATGATGTCCCCAATGTCCCCAATGTCCCTCACCGTGGCCCGGGGCGCGCTGCCACACGCGCAGGGTGCGGTCGTCGCTGCAGGACACGGATCCCTGTCNGCAGGACACGGATCCCTGTCCCCATGTCCCCAATGCCCCCATGTCCCATGATGTCCCCATGTCCCCAATGATGTCCCCATGTCCCCAATGTCCCTCACCATGCCCCGGGGCGCGCTGCCACACGCGCAGGGTGCGGTCGTCGCTGCAGGACACGAGGCGCTGGCCGGAGCGCTCCCAGGCCACGGCCCACACGGTGGACGTGTGCCCCTCCAGGGTGGCACAGCACACCCAGTCGTCCTCGTCCTCGCGGTACAGCCGCACCGTGTCGTCGTAGCTGGCGCTGGCCAGCAGCTGGGGACGCGTCGGGGACGTTGGGGACAGCGTGGCCCAGGTGCGTCCCCGTGTCCCCACAGGTGTCCTCAGGGCTGTCTCCGTGTCCCCCCAGCTGTCCCAGGGGTCGCCATGTCCCCCCAGCTCACCCAGGTGTGTCTCTGTGTCCTCCAGGTGTGTCCCCATGTCCCCAGGTGTGTCTCTGTGTCCTCCAGCTGTCCCCAGGTGTGTCCCCATGTCCCCCCAGCTGTCCCCAGGTGTCCCCATGTCCCCAGGTGTGTCCCCATGTCCCCAGGTGTCCCAGGTGGGTCCCCATGTCCCCAGGTGTGTCCCCATGTCCCCCCAGCTGTCCCCATGTCCCCAGGTGTGTCCCCATGTCCCCAGGTGTGTCTCTGTGTCCTCCAGGTGTCCCCAGGTGTGTCCCCATGTCCCCAGGTGTGTCCCCATGTCCCCCAGCTGACCCAGGTGTGTCTCTGTGTCCTCCAGCTGTCCCCAGGTGTGTCCCCATGTCCCCAGGTGTGTCCCCATGTCCCCCATGTCCCCAGGTGTGTCCCCATGTCCCCCCAGCTGTCCCCAGGTGTGTCCCCATGTCCCCAGGTGTGTCCCCATGTCCCCAGCTCTCCCCAGGTGTGTCCCCATGTCCCCCAGGTGTGTCCCCATGTCCCCAGGTGTGTCTCTGTGTCCNGTCCCCAGGTGTGTCTCTGTGTCCTCCAGCTGTCCCCAGGTGTGTCCCCATGTCCCCAGGTGTCCCCATGTCCCCAGGTGTGTCCCCATGTCCCCAGCTCTCCCCAGGTGTGTCCCCATGTCCCCAGGTGTGTCTCTGTGTCCTCCAGCTGTCCCCAGGTGTGTCCCCATGTCCCCAGGTGTGTCCCCATGTCCCCCCAGGTGTCCCCAGGTGTGTCCCCATGTCCCCAGGTGTCCCCACCTCCTGGCTGGGGTGCCACACCACGTGTTTGACGTCCTGGCTGTGGGCGCTGAGCACGCTGACGCACTCGAACTCCTGCTCCTCCTCGTCCACTGCGGACAGGGACAGCGGTCAGCGGGGTCAGCGGGGTCAGGGGTCACTCTGGTCAGTGGTCAGTGGTCACTCTGGTCAGCGGGGTCAGCGGGGTCAGTGGTCACTCTGGTCAGTGGTCACTCTGGTCAGTGTGGTCAGTGGTCACTCTGGTCAGTGGTCACTCTGGTCAGTGGGGTCAGGGGTCACTCTGGTCAGTGGTCACTCTGGTCAGTGTGGTCAGTGGTCACTCTGGTCAGTGGTCACTCTGGTCAGTGGGGTCAGTGTGGTCAGTGTGGTCAGTGGTCACTCTGGTCAGTGGGGTCAGTGTGGTCAGTGGTCACTCTGGTCAGTGGTCACTCTGGTCAGTGGTCACTGGTCAGTGGTCAGTGTGGTCAGTGGTCAGTGTGGTCAGTGTGGTCAGTGTGGTCACTCTGGTCAGTGGTCAGTGTGGTCAGTGGTCACTCTGGTCAGTGGTCACTGGTCAGTGTGGTCAGTGGTCACTCTGGTCACTCTGGTCAGTGTGGTCAGTGTGGTCACTCTGGTCAGTGGTCACTCTGGTCAGTGGTCACTCTGGTCAGCGGTCACTCACCCTCCCAGACCCAGACGCTCTTGTCACGGCTGCAGGTGGCCAGCAGTGCCCCCGAGGGTGCCCAGGGGGGTCAGTGGTCAGTGTGGTCACTCTGGTCAGTGGTCAGTGTGGTCAGTCCGGTCAGTGGTCAGTGGTCACTCTGGTCAGTGGTCACTCACCCTCCCAGACCCAGACGCTCTTGTCACGGCTGCAGGTGGCCAGCAGTGCCCCCGAGGGTGCCCAGGCCACCGACTTCACCTCGTTCTCGTGCCCCTCCAGCGTGGCCACCACCTGCGGGGGGCACGATGGCACGGGGGGCACGGGGGGATTCAAGGGGATGTGGGGGGATTTGGGGGGATTTGGGGGGATTTGGAGGATATGGGGAGATTTGGGGGGAATTAGGGGGGATTTGGGGGACATGGGGGGGATTTGCAGAGAATTTGGAGGAAATTGGGGGGGACTGGGGGGATTTCAGGGGATTTGGGCTGAATTTGGGGGGATTTGAGGGGATTCAGGGGGAATCAGGGGGGATTTGGGGGGTCTGGGGGGTGGGAAAGGGTTTGGGGGATTTGGGGAGAATTTGGGGGGATGGGAAGGGGTCTAAGGGGGGGATTTGGGGGATGACACAGGTGACACTGAGGGGGTGGCACGGGTGGGACACAGGTGGCACGGGGGTGACATAGGTGGGACACAGATAACACGGGTGACACACAGGTGACTCAGGCGACACTGAGGTGACACAGAGGTGACACACGAGTGACACGGGTGACACACGGGTGACAGGGGTGCCCGGGCACCTCGAAGCCGTGCTCCTGGCGCCGCCACACGCAGGTGGTGCCATCGAAGCTGGCCGAGGCCAGGAAGTGCCCGCACGGCGACCACGCCACCCTGCGCACCGTGCGCTGGTGCCCGTCGGCCAGCACGGCGCGGCACGCCCAGCCCGAGCCTGGGGACAGTGAGGGGACACTGAGGGGACAGTGGGGACAGTGGGGACAGCTGTCCATCCCTGTCCCAGCACGGCACGGCACGCCCAGCCCGAGCCTGGGGACAGTGAGGGGACACTGAGGGGACAGTGGGGACAGCTGTCCATCCCTGTCCCAGCACGGCACGGCACGCCCAGCCCGAGCCTGAGGACACTGAGGGGACACTGGGGACACTGGGGACACTGGGGGGACATTGGGGACATTGGGGACATTGCGGACAGCTGTCCATCCCGGCCCCAGCACACCCAGCCCGAGCCTGGGGACAGTGAGGGGACACTGAGGGGACATTGGGGACACTGAGGGGACACAGCAGGACAGCGCTGTCCCCGTGTCCATCCCGGCCCCAGCACACCCAGCCCGAGCCTGGCCCCAGGGACTGAGGGGACACCAGGGGGACACGGGACAGCCCCACATCCGTTCCCCTTCCCGGTTCCCATTCCTGGTCCCAGTTCCCATTCCCGATTCCCGGTTCCTCTCACCCTCCCAGCCCCACACCCTCACACTCTGGTCCCGTTCCCGTTCCCGTTCCCGGTCCCGGTCCCCGCTCAGCCTCCCGTCCCCAGACCCGCACGCTCCGGTCCCGTTTCCGTTCCCGGTTCCCATTCCTGTTCCCGTTCCCATTCCCATTCCCGTTCCCGGTTCCCATTCCCGTTCCCATTCCCGGTTCCCATTCCCATTCCCGGTCCCGTTCCCCGCTCACCCTCCCGTCCCCAGACCCGCACGCTCCGGTTCCGGTCTCACCCTCCCGTCCCCACACCCTCACAGCCCGGTCCCGTTCCCATTCCCATTCCCATTCCCATTCCCGTTCCCGTTCCCGGTCTCACCCTCCCGTCCCCAGACCCGCACGCTCCGGTCCCGGTCCCGTTCCCGGTCTCACCCTCCCGTCCCCAGACCCGCACGCTCCGGTCCCATTCCCGGTCCCGTTCCCGGTCCCGTTCCCGGTCTCACCCTCCCGTCCCCAGACCCGCACGCTCCGGTCCCGTTCCCATTCCCGTTCCCATTCCCGTTCCCATTCCCGTTCCCATTCCCATTCCCATTCCCATTCCCATTCCCATTCCCATTCCCGTTCCCATTCCCGTTCCCATTCCCGGTTCCCGGTCCCGTTCCCCGCTCACCCTCCCGTCCCCACACCCGCACGCTCCGGTCCCCGCCGCACGTGGCCAGCAGGGCCCCGCTGGGGCTCCAGGCCAGGGCCCAGCAGCGGGACTCGGGGTGCGCCGAGACCCGGCACAGCAGCGACAGCGCCTCGGGCATGGCGCCACCGGCCCGGCACCGGCACCGAGCGGCGCCGGAAGCGGAACTGACGCGGGCGGCGCCGGAAGTGAACCGACGCGGAAGCGGAAGCGCGGCCGGGCGGGGCCGGCAGGGGAGCCCGGAGCCGCCACCGGGGCCCGGCGGGTCGGGATCGGAACCGGCACCGGCACCGGAACAGCCTGTCCCGGGATCGGCCCGGAACCACCCCCGGCCGGCCCGGGATCGGCACCGGCACCGGCACCGGGGCCGCTGTCGGGGCGTCCGGGCCGGGACCAGCGCGTTCGGAGCCAGCGGGATCGGTACCGGGGCAGCGGGATCGGTACCGGGCCGGGATCGGTACCGGGCCGGGATCGGTACCGAGGCAGCGGGATCGGTACCGGGGCAGCGGGATCGGTACCGGGCCGGGATCGGTACCGGGCCGGGATCGGTACCGAGGCAGCGGGATCGGTACCGGGCCGGGATCGGTACCGAGGCAGCGGGATCGGTACCGGGCCGGGATCGGTACCGGGCCGGGATCGGTACCGGGACAGCGGGATCGGTACCGGGCCGGGATCGGGAGCTGTTGCCGGTGAACCGGCGGTGTCGGTGGCCCGGAGCCGGTACCGGCTGTCCCGGAGCGGTGTCGGTGGCCTGGAGCAGGTGCTGGCGAGCCAGAACCGGGCCCGGTGACCCAGGGCTGGTGGCGCTGCCCCGGTACCGGTGACCCGCAGCAGGTGACCCTGAGCCGGTACCGGTGACTCGGTCCTGGTGACCCTGAGCCGGTACCGGGACCCGGAGCAGGTGTTCTTTACCCAGTCCCAGTGCCGGTCCCGCTCCCGGTTCCGCTCTCGGTGCCGCTGACCCAGACGAGGTGTCCATAACCCCGGTTCCGCTCCCGGTTCCGCTCCCGGTTCCGCTCTCGGTGCCGCTGACCCAGACCCGGTGTCGGTGACCCTGGTCCTGCTCCCGGTTCCCCTCCTGGTTCCACTCTCGGTGCTGGTGGCCCGGCCCCGCTGTCGGTAACCCCGGTTCCCCTCCCGGTTCCCCTCCCGGTTCCGCTCTCGGTGCCGGTGGCCCAGTGTCAGTAACCCCGGTTCCCCTCCTGGTTCTGCTCGCGGTCCCTGTGGCCCAGCTCCGCTGTCGGTAACCCCGGTTCCGCTCCCGGTTCCGCTCCTGGTCCCGCTCCCGGCTCCGCTCTCGGTGCCGGTGACCCAGACCCGGTGTTGGTAACCCCGGTGCCGCTCCCGGTTCCGCTCCCGGTGCCGGTGACCCAGACCCGGTGTTGGTAACCCCGGTGCCGCTCCCGGTTCTGCTCCCGGTTCCGCTCCTGGTTCCGCTCTCGGTGCCGGTGACCCAGACCCGCTGTTGGTGACCCTGGTCCCGCTCCTGGTTCCCCTCCCGGTTCCGCTCCTGGTTCTGCTCTCGGTGCCGGTGACCCAGACGAGGTGTCCATAACCCCGGTTCCGCTCCTGGTTCCGCTCCCGGTTCCGCTCCCGGTCCCCGTGGCCCGGCCCCGCGGTCGGTAACCCCGGTTCCCCTCCCGGCCCCGCTGTCGGTGACCCCGGTTCCCCTCCCGGTTCCCCTCCCGGCCCCGCTGTCGGTAGCCCCGCTGCCGCTGCCGCCATGTACGCGGGCGCGGCGGGCGCGGCGGGCGCGCGGCGGCGGCGCGGCGCGGCGGCGCTGCCCAAGCAGCCGGAGCGCAGCCTGGCGTCGGCGCTGCCGGGCGCGCTGGCCGTCACCGCGCTCTGCACCGCGCTGGCCGAGCCCGCCTGGCTGCGCCTCCACGGCGGCACCTGCGCCCGCCAGGAGCTGGGCGTGGCCGACGTGCTGGGCTTCGTGCAGCCCGAGCTGCTGCGAGGTGAGCTGCCGGGACCTGCGGGGCCTCCTGGGGCCTTCCAGAACCTTCCAGAGCCTTCCATGAGCTCCTGTGTCCATCGAGAACATTCCAGAACCTTCCATGAGCTCCTGTGTCCTTCCAGAGCCTTCCATGAGCTCCTGGGGCCTTCCATGACCTCCTGTGTCCATCCAGAACCTTCCAGAGCCTTCCATGAGCTCCTGGGGCCTTCCAGAACCTTCCATGACCTTCTGTGTCCTTCCAGAGCCTTCCATGATCTCCTGTGTCCTTCCAGAGCCTTCCATGATCTCCTGTGTCCTTCCAGAGCCTTCCAGAGCCTTCCATGACCTCCTGTGTCCTTCCAGAGCCTTCCGGAACCTTCCATGACCTCCTGTGTCCATCCAGAACCTTCCATGACCTTCTGTGTCCTTCCAGAGCCTTCCATGACCTCCTGTGTCCTTCCAGAACCTTCCATGACCTCCTGTGTCCTTCCAG